AAATACATGGTCGGGAAGCAAAGTTGTTTAAAAAAAAAAAAAAAAAGCAAAGCTGTTTTTGGAGGAACAGCTTTGCTGAGGAAAACAACGTTGTTTAATTCCTCATGGTGTGGAGGTTTGTCGCAACGTTGCGGGAAAAGAAGTTCAAACAACTCTGTGGCACTAGCTGCCACGTTGATGGGTTGCAACTTTGTTTTAGAGTTGAACATCATAAATCCAAATGTAGCAGTGTTGAAGGAACCGTATTGTGGTACGACAGAGTTGTTTTGGCCATCGTGCAAGGTGGAAATAAAACCAAATCAAGGTTGGTTTGACCAAACATCACAGTTGTAGAGGTTTGAAAGATCACAGTAGCATTGAAAAAAAATATATAATAAAAAAAGGGGAAAAAGAGAGAAGTTCGGACCTCAATAGAGAAGCATGTTCGTATCTTTGCAGGAAGAGGGCTGCCACCGCCAGGTCTGTTCCGAGAGGAGCAGCAGTGTTAAAAAAAAAAAAAAAGAGAGAGAGAGTATGCGGCCAAAACAGCAGTGAAGAAAAAAATCAAAAACGGAGCTGTGTAGGAACACTATCGGCACCGAGCTGTTAAGGCCAACTATGACAAAAGCCAAGTCTGTTGGTTTTATTTTATAAATAACAAGTATATTATAATAACTAACATATCTTTTTGAGCCAAGACAGCGGTGTTGCGATGGGCCGCAGTGTTGCGAGAGTAGCACAACGCCGCGATTTGGTTATTCGCGAAGCCCCGGCAGTGTTGTTGATTTATTTATTTTTCTTCCCTCCTTCTGGCTCAGCAATGTTGCGGGTTTGTGGAAGGGAACTAAAACGCACGTCGTTTTCTCCAAACAAAATTGTGAGCCAACTTCGGGGCATTATGGATCTTGTCTGGTAGCTTGCTTCAGTGCTGTGAAAACGAGTATGAGTTGGCCATATAAAGTAGTGGACCAATAACAAAGGAGAGCCACTGTCTTGGGCGACCTAGAATTCCATGGGAAATCAGCTTCATCCATTAGGCGAACTTGGTGTTAATTGAAATTAATCATAGGAATATGGCAGCCATAGGTCCTCCTTGACGAGGCGGTGAGGTTCGTAGTTGGCAAATATTTTAGGTGATATGATTTATTGTGTCAACAATTTGGTTCATAATTCTTATAAACCAAATTGTGGGGGGCATTTGTTGACACCTAAAATTAATTTGGCCGGGATTAAATGCCGCATTAATTAGTCTCGGCATGTAATTCGATATCGTGGGGTAAAAAACGGTATCGTTTGGAGTTAAAACGGTACCGCAAGGGAACTCACCGGTACCGCAAGGGAACTCACCGGTACCGCAAGGAGGCCGAACCGGTACCGCAACACCGGAAACGACACCGCAGGCCGAAAATAAAGAGGCCGCTCTTTTAATGAAGGGTGAGGAGGAGTTGTGATTATTTAATTATTATTTTTATTCCTTGTTGGAGGAGTAAAAACGGTACCGCAAGGGAGCTCACCGGTACCCCGGAGAGTTAAAACGGTACCGCGGCACTGGAAACGGCACCGCTTGTCGAAAATAAAAAACAAGGGCCGCGCGTGTGGTTTTTTGTTGGAGAAGGAGTGTTGTTTTTAATTAATTAATATTTTTGTTCCTTGTTGGTGGAGAGTTAAAAACGGTACCGCGAGTAATCCCAACGGTGCCGTGGATAGGCAAACGACAGTGTTTAAAATAACAAACAATGTCGCAAAAAGGAAAAACAATCGGAGCTGTGGTGGCGCTAGCGATGTCGTTGGCCATAGCTAGTGATGGCCGGATTAATTAATTAATGTTTTAATGACTTTTTAGCCCGGTGGCGTTTAGTTGAAAACGATGCCGCAAGAGGAAGAAACGACACCGCGGGACAAGGAAATAGCGTTGTTTAACTGAGAACGACGCCGGGGTGAGAGTTTGACGGCGAGTTAACAATGAGGGCAAGTTTAATTAATTAGTATTTTATTATTCTTTTAGACGGTATCGTTTAATACGATGCCGCGGAGAAGTAAAACGACACCGTTTAAGGCATCAACAACGCCGTAGTATTACTAAGCGATGTCGTTTTGTTAAAAACCATACCACGATGGTTTGGATTTTGGCGAGTGGCCCGGCAAGCTCAACGACACCGCAAGACAAGAAAAACGGTACCGTTGGTAGAGAACAATGTCGTGGAATGAAAACGACATTGTTTGATGGGACCGGGGCGGAGCAGTTCAAGGTCGGCATCGATTAGTGAAAAACGATGTCGCGGAAAGATTAAACGATGTCGCAGGAGGTATCAACGACATCGCGGTATCATAAACGATATCGTTTGATTTAAAACGATATCGCAGTGGTTAAGAGCTCGGCCAAAGGTGGCCCGCCAAGCCCAACGACGGCGCAAGACTAGAGAACGACGTTGTTTGATGGACTAACAATATCGTTGGTTAAACCGGGTCGGGGCAGTTGAGTTGGATTATAAAACGGCAGCGGTTGGTGAAAGGCGATGTCGTGGTATTGGTGAAACGTCATCGTTACATGGACAAGGTTGTAAGTCGTTGCGCCAAGTTTCTGCAAAGCAAGAGCGGTTTCGAGGGCACGTGATTATCACGCAACAAGGAGGAAGTTACCTGCACGGTTGACAGGAATGAAGACGTGGGAGACAAAGGCGCCAAGGCAGTTACTACGACGGGGAGAAGTGCAAAGTATAAAGATTGGGAAGAGAGAGAAGCTCAGGACGGCAAAATCAAATCACAAACTGCACCGTCGCAGATTTTATCTTTTCTCTCTCTAGTTCGTAGAACCGCTCTGTCAAAGAACTCCTTTGCAGAGTCGTAGATCGTAGCTTGTAGTCGTAGTCGCGGAGCTCTCCAGAGGAACCTCCATAGGAGTAGAGGTAACGTAACTTAGAACACTCCTGGTTCGATTTTCTGTTTATTCGAACACCCTCGTTCGAACGTAGTTTGGAGAGGTGTTGAACCGAATAACAGTTGTTTGATTAGAAGTCAAAGGTGTATCGATCAAATCAACGACGCCGACACCGGCGGCGGCCATTTGACGATCGTCTTTATTTCTATTTTAATCGATCAAATCAACGGCGCCGACACCGGCGGCGGATATTTGACGGTTGTGATTGACGTGTGTTTTTGTGTTTTTTTCTTGAAAACCGTGCACAGTTAACACACGAGTTTCGCCAACGAAACAACACCAAAGAAGGGCATGGATTAAGGACTTGATACACCATTCCTTTGGGGTATTTGGTGCAAAATGAGGCCACGTTCTAATTTGTCTCTGAGATGTCAGTATGTAAATGACTTACCGGAATGAAGGTTTGAATGATACTCCATATCTCCATTGTATAATTGCATGAAAGAAAGATATGGCTGGCGCTCTCTTCGCTTACTTCGCAGAGGCACATCTGCTCGGGAGCATAAATCCTCTTCTTTCAAGGCGTAGTGGGTAAGGATTTTCTTCTGTTGCACTATCCAAAGGAATGCACAAATCTTGGCTGGGATGTAAAACTTCATATAAATCTCCTTGTTTTTGTAAACGAAAATAAATCTCCTTGACTGTAAGGTTCATTTAATGAGTGAAAGGAAGGAAAGTTCAAAAAATTTCATAATTAAAATATTTAAATTATTTTATTTCCCATTTTCCGAAGAAGTCGTAGCTAGTAAGTACAACTAATAAATTGTTACTACGTGCATGCTAAGAGAGAGAAAGCTAGAGAGCCTTTGAGGTAGGGCTGGCTATTTGGTCCCGGACTGTTAGCTTTTACCCGAAACCGGACCGTATAACCCGGATCGGGACCGGACTGGGACCGGATAGCAAACAATCCAATCTCATATTCGGGCTTAGATTTGAGGTAAAAAAACCCGGATAAGAGACCCCCCAACACCTAAAATCAAGATCAAATTGGGACCGGACCGAATCAAGACCAGACTGTATCCAATCCAATCTTTGGTCCTTATATTTCCGAAAAGATCGGACTGGGACCGGAACAATTTGGTCCAATTTAACCGGACCGGACCGTATAGCCACCCTTACTTTGAGGAGGAAGAGGTCATTTGGATGAGTCATTTGTCATTTTGTAGGAAATGACACATCCTCAAATGATATGATGTATGTGACATCAAAGTTCAAACTCATTACAAACACACAGTATTCATGCTTACAAGAGAAAGTTATTACAATTAGGTAAGTATACTGTGATCATAAAAACCGGCATGAATATAATATATACATGTTTCTTATGCTTGTTAAAAAGAGTTGCATAATTTTTTTTTTGTGTTGCCTAACATAGTATTACATAAGTGGTATGCATATGCAACACATAGTATTTTTTTGTGCGAAAACTAAAATCTATTAATTTATACAAGTCATCACTAAAAGTGTTGTACTTTGCATATATACTTGTAAATTTTCTTTAAAACGTACTTCAAGTGTTGGCAAATGGCACTTTTCCCTATTCTACTACAATAATAAGTTAACAAATGCTTGGGTAGTGGGAATAGAGACAAGATCGGCATTCCCTTTCGTCTTATTCTTATATAATGCATCATCCATATACAATCCAGGCAAAGGCATGACCAACATTGTACAGATGGACAAATGAAAACCCATATATGTATAGCCAGCCCTAATTATAGCCCAACCTCACCCTTGCAATTGGATCGTCTTTCCCTCTCTTAATTAAAAATTCATCGATACACAGATTAAGTAGGTAGAGTCATTTTATTCACCACGAGGCACGTACTGCTGCAGAAACCTCCTTGTTTTTCTTGCTTTCATGCCTTTGGACACAAACATATATATATATGCGTCCAATTGATCCGTGTCGAGGCTTAATTACTTGCCTACAGAAGTACTTGGCGTAACAACAACAAGACTCCTCACAGCATGCTTCCCACTTTCTTCGACCCAAGTAAATTACTTGGGTCGAGGAAAGTGGGAAGCATGCTGTAAGGACAGGAGACCTGTTGTTGTTACGCCAACTTGTGCAGGCAAGTAATTAAGCCTTGACATGGATGAGCTGGACCACACGAAACCGTCCCGTCCCTTCCCCATCGCTCGCGTACGTTATCTCCACACAGTACTCGATCATGACGCTCGTACTTGTTCCCGAACACCAAACTCTGAGGCCACACACCGAAACTGTGGAGTCCATCGGAGGGTCCACCTTCACCTTGTACGTAGCTGTAGCTGCTCCTCCAGTCCACCCACATTCGTAACAACCCTCTTCGTCATCACCTCTCCGGTAGAAGTCACGTTCTTGTCGTAGAACGAACGCCAGGAACGAGGGATAGTTCAGATCCGGGGAAGCATTCTCGATCGCAATTGTAGGCGTTGGATCTGGTGACGGTCAGGATCTGGTTCGTGGTGAAATTCATTGAACACAGCAGAGAAACGTAGTCCCAGCGCCCATCGCCAAAGGAGACGCGGCAGTGAAGCCCCAGCCGGCGTCTTTGATGGGCATCCCAGAGTTGTCGAGCTCGGTGGCAGTGGTCATCATGGCCGACTTAATAGCTGCATATATGGCTCCATTCCGGATGCCATGACGTCTGGCTTCAGAACCCCAAGACAGTTGGGGCAAGGACCTCGAGATGTGTACTCCGCCACCACGGGAGCCGTCTCTTTGCCCGTCACGGTTTGCTGGAACTTGATCGAAGCAATAGGCTTGTCGCTGCTCTTGATGTAGTCCATAACCGCCTCCAAATCCGTCGTGGAAATCAACACGGCTGCTGGATTGTTCGTCCAGTCGAAGTCGAAACGGGAAGGATCTTTGCAGACGAAAATTGCGGCGACGAGGTTTGTCGCGGCGCGGGTGATTTGGGACATCTGGTCACCTAGAGACCATGTGTGTTCGCAAACAAGAATGCCATGTGGTGCTTTGGAGAGTAACTCTGAATCGTTGCATTTGGAGAGCGTCTTGTTGTAGACGAGGGTTTCGTCCTTGATTCCCAAGCCGAGAGGGTACATGCTCTTTCCGACAATGGTATGTTGTTTCCTAGCTTTATCACTTCCTAAGGTCAAGCTCGCAACGAACGTGCGGTCGAAGGTGCCAGCTCCGACGGTCAACATTGCCAGCCGCGGATGCGATGAAGACCCCTTCTCCATAGCACCAAAGGAGGCGATTGCAATAGGATTCTCGTACAAAGGCGTCACTTCATACGAAACCGTCCCTTCGCTCGCGTACGTTATCTCCACATAGTAATGATGACGCTCGTACTCCTTCCCGAACACCAAACTCTGAGGCCACACCGAAACTGTGGAGCCTATCGGAGGACATTGGTAACAACCCTGCGAAACCTCTTCGTCATCACCACTCCAGTAGAAGCCACGTTCTTGTCGTTGAAGTCTTGTCCTTCTTCGCACATTCCTTTCCATTTTGATGGGAACTTGCTTGATGGTGGTCATTCCCTGGTCGTCAAAACTTGGGATTTCTGGCCATATAATCACACCGATGATCACGCCTTGGCCGAAGTTGGAGGCTGGCCAGAGACCGGTCGATGGGTTGAGGGTTTGAAGTTCTGGCTCTGTTAAAACAGCGTTGAACCCATGAAGCGCATTCTTGAACGAGTACAGGAATGAATTTTCAAGGGATGAAAAATGAGGAATTCTTGCGGAGGATTTGATGGAGGTGACGATGGAGGAGTGCCACTGTTCTTTGGTAGTGAAGGGCGTTGGACAGGAGGAAGGGTTGAGATGGACAGTATAGGTGGAGTAGCTCTCGGCTGTTGGAGTCGAGGCAGTATGGAAAGTGAAGAGGAGAAGAAGAAGAAGAAGAAAGGTGTAGAGGTGAACCATGGAAAGAAAAGAAGTGAATTGCTTGGTTGTTTTCTTGGTGGAAATGCTTGATACGTTGAGTGCTTATTGAGCATCTGTTTTGTTCTCTATATATACACATACAAGATGTAGGTTAGGAAATTAGTGAAAATAAATTATTATATAGAATGGACGTCATTAATTGAGCGATTCACGAAAAGGGCATTGCTCACCTTATTGCAAGTGGTTTTCCGTCATTGTCATTGCAATGTCACAAGATGCTCTCCAGTTGTTGGAGTGGTTATACGGTCCGGTCCGGTCCGGTAAAATTGGTCCGAATTGATTCGGTTCCGGTCTGATATTTTCGAGAATTTAAGGACCAAAGATTGGATTGGATACAGTTCGGCCTTGATCTGGTCCGGTCCCAATTCGGTCTTGATTTTAGATTGAGCTTGTGGGGATTTGAGTGGCCTGAGAGGGGATTTGAGCATGGTCCATGAAACCGTACCGGAGACCGTACCGAAAAAGTCAGCGGTAGGGTATTTTATGGTAAAACCGTGGTTTTATCGTAGTTCAACCGTTGTACCATTAAATACCGCCTACTGGTTTAGCCTCCGATACTGGTATTTCGTAGTTGAACCACCGGTACGATACGGTTTCATGGCCCATGAATTTGAGTGGCCTAAGTCCTAAAAGGGTGAGGAGATTAAATTTTGGGTGTTGAGCTCTCTTATCCAGTCTTTAACAACAAAATTATGCAGCTGGGTGCATATAATAATTTGACCAGGACCAGGACACACTTTTCCTATTTAACAACAAAATTATACAACTGGATCCATATAAGAATTTGATCAGGATATTTACTATTTGGATTCATTTTCATTTCCAATCACATCACTCCGAAAAGTTTTATCATCGCATCATTGTTAAATTGATCATTAATCCAATTATGAAATAGATGTACCAATTATAATTTATGTAGGTATTTCAGGGATACTAATTTCAAATTTTTATAATGATGAAACATGAATATTTATCGAAACATCGGCGGTCCGCCCCTGACTAGCTTTGCTCTCGATCATTGGCCGGATTGCGGATTATTTTATTATTAATTATTTAATTGGAGTGAAAAGATTATGATTGGAATTAAGGGTTGAACATGTAAAATGATTCGGTAGTACCAATTCTATTGTGATTAAAATCATCAATGAACTTGATCAAATTAGATTTCATCAAATAGAGAGTTTTTTTTTTTTTGTCAAAAAACAAGAGTTCGAATCCTACTAATGCTTATCTTTAAGTGTGGCTATTTTTAATTACAGTGTAACATAAAAATTAAAAAGTCAAATTAATAAATTGACATGAAAATAAAGTTGATGTGAATGTTTAAAATTGTATCAATTTAATTGGAACCTAACTTGAAAAAGTGTATTATACTCTATTAAGTTCAGTAACATTCTTATTAACGGGTAATGGGTTGTTACAACGTTCTGTCTTCTATATAACATCACACAGCAACAATGTGCGGGCTCTTCTATATTTAAATATAACGTAAATATTCAGTTAGATGATGGCACCTTTTAAGTAGGTTTAGTTGTTTACAATATTCAGAAAGTCATGCGGCTATCTACCTCTTCCTAATAAATTGTATCCATGTTTTGATAAAATCTTTTGGTTGTAAAGGTATTCTTTGTTACACAAATTATTAGTGATGGGTAATGGGCCCGCCGGTTAGATGGATTTTTGTTTTAAATTGACTTACTCGCTTACTAGCGAGTTGGTATAATTGTGACTCGCTATCCACCCACATTATTATGTGGATTGGGTTGGGTGGGTGGGTGGCGGTGGGTGCTGTTGGGTTGTGAGTTAACCCGCTAAAGCAATCCTTAACTAATCATCAAGAAGTTGACTAACATAGTAACATTTATAATAAGTTCCTTGCATATTAGTAAGACTTTATTGATTTAGACGTTTCCTGTTTTATCTTATGTGGATCAATGTAGTATTTGCATCAAAAATTTCATTATTCTATCAAACCAATTATGTAGACAAAACTGACGCATTTTGCTAGCTACAAATTATTATTATTACATTTATAAAGGCTCAAATTAAAATCATCATTTTGTGATGTGAAAATATTCTCTATCTAGCTGGTTACATCACCGTTCACACTTCACACTACTTGTGTGACCTTTTATTTGGTATCGGTAGTTTGAGACTTTCGTTCTAGCTACTAGTTAGGTAGTTGTTGGCTTGTTGCAGTTTCCACAAACAAATTTCACATTCATGCAAGTTGCACTTACATTACATACATAGTTTTGTTCGAACGGCCTCGTAATTAGCTCCCACAGGTGGTCCTGCCTCTGCATATAAGAATTGCGTAGTGGATGAGCTAGGAAATCGCATATGATGTATTATTTTGAATTATATAAATATTGGAATTTAAAATGAAAAAATCTCAATAATTTATCCTTAAGGAAATAATCAACTATTTGTTATAATAAATACCTATGACAAAAATCGTGATTCTGTGTAAAAATAATTTGGTGACCTAGAAGCGTAAAAACGTAAGATTTTAAAATTTAAATCTTGGCTTATATAAAATATCTCCCGTTAATTAATATAAATATATATAGTATCAGGACTTGTATACACCTATACCAGGGTCAATAATTTGTGTACAAAATTTTAACTGTGTCCTATGACACGCCCAAAAGTGGCAAGCCCAAGATTTTCCTACGGGGTATCGCTTATATAATTTAAAATATAAAAAAGTATATTATTTCTACCATTAAAAAACACTAATTGAGAACACTAAGGAATCGACCTAGTGAAAATATGGGATGAAAACATCCACCAAGTTTGAACTTTGTAGCAAACAACTAACAAAGAAAACTAATTTGATAACTAATAATAGCTCTGTGAGAAATATATGTTGTATATATAATGCTTTTCTAATAATAGCTCTGTGGGAAATATAAGTTGTTACTATAGATAAAGCTAAAGCAAGGTTACTGTTTCCCAACCGTTTAGCTAATATGTACTATTGTTATTTTTAGTGTTAATACAATTGAACCCGGCAGCAACCCTGCGGGTGAGAGGGGAAGGAAAAATGACAACGTTGGTTGCCTCATAAGTAGTAGCAAAACACCAAAAAGTAGGGAGTAGCAAAAGAAAAGAACCACATATTACACAAATCTAAAAGAGATATCAAAATAATTTTTAATTACATCCAAACGGGATCAATAAAATCGTGAATGACCTACAATATTAGTTTGGTTTGGGGATCTGATCTATAAACTATGGGTTAGCCGTTTGTTTGTGTACTGAATCGCGAGAATCACGCTAATTTAAGTGGTCCAATGAAAGTTCATCGCTTTTATCAAAATATAGTTGAATCTTGCCCGTCATCTCCCTTTTCTTATTTCCGCATTTGGCTTCTTCATATAACCTTAATTACTACAATATATATGTATTATAATATACAAGTAGAAATGTTCATGTAAACGATTCACCAATGGGTCCATAAAAATTAACAATTGCTGCTAATTTTTCTAGCTCAATATTTATTCCAATTAAAATATGTCTATTTTTAATTATTAGTAGACCGTCGTTTTCCTTCCCTTTTCTATTTTCTAAAATTTGCATGCATGAAATTTAAGTTGAGTTTCACTTTTTATTTCCTTAGCTTTTCTCTAGAGCTTATCCTTCCCTCGTTAGCAAGAATTTTCTATAATTATTAACTATACATATAAATTACCACTATGTATATACAATATCAAACAAAGAATGATCAATACAAAATTACTATCATAATCACACCACCAAAAAAGAATTGTTGGATAGTTACCTTGACAACTAACTACAAAAGGCACCATTACGAGGAGAACAATACTGGTTGAGAAAGTCTTCATGTTCTGCTGAATAAAAATAACGATAATAAGTGGAAATAAGGGGATGAAATCTAGGGATGAGAGGCGTGTTATTATTTATAAAGAGGGAAGAGAACAAGTCATTTCTCACAATTTAATACACACACCCCAAATTAAGTAATCACGATTCCTGCTGCAACAAAATAGGAAGAGTTAGACACAAATTCGTATCTCCACCACCCATAACTATATTAAGAAAATCAACTCTTGAAAATCAATGAAATCCCCAAAATCAATGATCTCTATCAAGATATATAAGTGGATAGTTTACCCTTTTTACTTCATTCTCAACTTTTTACTGATGTTATTTATTTTTTATATATTAATAAATCGACGATTCGAACTAGATGATAAGATCATATTTGAGAGAACCGTTGTTCGACCCATGAGTTTTAGGATGAGATGTTACAGTGAATATACAAAAAATTGTGAAGATATATAAGTGGGTGATTCAGAATGATGCTCATAAGTGTTCTTGGAAATGAAGAGACACACATCTAGCTCATACTATATTTAATTAATATGATTCATATCGAGATGTATGAGCATATAGTCTACCTTTTTTTTACTTCATTCTCAAATTTTTACCGATTCAATTTTTTTATAAATTAACAAAATAAGTGAAGTTACAATCTCTCACCATAAACAAAAAAATTATAACTAACAACAAAGCTTTTATATACACTATTTTATTTATATTTAGTTTTTATACTAACATAATGGATATTTAATTTGTATGTGTAAAATATTATCATATTATCATTTTCGTAAGTTTTGTATCATTACCTACAATTTATATTCATATATTGATATTTTGTAAATCATTATTTTCTGTCAAGAAGTAAATTATCCAATGGGTTGACCCGAATAAGCCATAATTCGGCCTGACCGAACCTGAATTAACCCGCAATCCAATAAACCCGTAATTTGATGCACCTGTAACCCGACCCGATCCATAAGCCAATTGACCCGTGACCTGATTAACTCGTAACCCATTTGATCCGCAACCCAATTGAACCCGATCCAAATTGAAACCGACCCGATTGAACTCGCAACTCGATTGAATCCAACTCGGTTAGACCCAATCCGAACCAGACCCAACCCGCCCAA